TCTAAGATACAACAACGTTGATACAGATACAAATTTTTTAGTATTTAAAAACTGGGGGAATATGTATAAAAAGGTGGTTATGCCCCTTTAAAGAAAAAATAGTTCTACAACATATCAATAATTTCTCCCTTAGGAACCTGACTTGGCATGTGCGGTATTGCAGTTAGGGGATTGTTTACCGACCGGTGTACTGCCCAATCACCACTTTCGTGGGTTAGCCTATTCTTGGTGTTTACATCGGATAAATCCATCCATCCATCCAATCAAGCATTTGATGCTAATGTTCTGTAGTTAAATTAGTTGTGTTATGAACATGTAATATCATACTGATGAAGCTAAAATCTTTCACTTTTTTAGCTGGATTGAGAATGTAGACTAGACCTACCAGTTGTCACCCAGTGCTGTGTAACAGAATCCAACAATCCCTTCATTCTTGCCGGCTCGGTAAGAAAGTTCCATAGCTGCTTCGGCAGCAGGGAGACTTGTGATGATCTTTTTCGTCATTCCTTTAGGAGGACTCATAGGCATTGCGATGATACTATAAAAATATAATATACAAAATATAACATCGTTATCGTTTATATTAAATAATATTGTGCTAATATTTATGTATAATACTATTTTTAATACTATTTATAATTATTTATTTGTATTTATATTTATCATTTTTTTGCTTCTATCTATTAGCAAAGTAGTATACTGTGATCGATGTCAATTTTCAGATTTTTATTTCTCCCATATCAGATTAACTAGATTAAAATAAATTTTCATAATTTTGACAAAAGGTTGATAAAATGTACTATGTTTAATATTATATCTCTCGTATCTCGTTGTTTACTGTAATCCCAATTGTGTTAATTATTATTCGTTGTATATGTATACAATTTTGAGATGCAAAAAAAATAATCCTGTGTTGTGCTACTTACGATCGGGCGTCCGAGGCAGGAAGAATTCTGGCGGAAACGAGACCTGTCCATTTCTCTCCTGGTCGGATGATATCGCAAGTAGGTCCTTGGACTAAAGGCCCAACACAGCTACCAGCTGGAAAGTATATTTCAAAAGAGATGTTAGCGTTGTTAAATATTCAAAATTTAATTTGAGCTTTAAATAATCATTGCCTCTGAATTCTTATAACGACTAAAAATGTGTTAAGTTTCGTGGTGACGTAAATTATAACGTGATACACTTATTATGAATAATCACTTTGATTTATATAGAGGTAACTGAATTTAACCGCGAAAAAAATTAAAACGTGCTTATATATTCATTTGTGATTTAAAATTCATTCGTACAGGAATTTGTAATCTTTATCGCAATCCTTAAAACAGCGTTAAGATTACAGAATGAATAATATAATGATATGTATACAAACAGGGTACAAACACAAACAATATAGCTTTAGCCTACATACTATAGGCATATGCACATAAATCCATATATATATATATATATATATATATACTATATATAGTTGTATATATATATATAATAGTAACCAGTTTGCTCAGAAAATCATTAAAGACAAAAACTAAACCATAATGCGTTGTTATCATCAAGCTTGGTTTCCATACATTTGCTATACGCCATCGCTGACAACTTTCGGTGATGATTCTGATTGGTCGTTTGAATTGGGGAACCTTCCTGATTGCGTCGGGGACGTAGTACAACGATTGCACTGAAAACATGTAGCGATTTTAAGGTAACCAGGCTTAGCTGTAATAACCCCAGTGTACTTACGTTGCGTGACGTTCAAAAGGAACTGGAATGGAATTGAACTTAAAGCTTCAGTCGAATCTTTGTCCACAAAATCTTCAACCATGACTGATGCAGCGTACCAACCAGGTGGTCCCATCTCCGGGAATTCTAACTCGCATCGTTCCTATTGTAATAATATATAATGAAACATTTCAGCCCATATAAACATAGCCCGACTGTCCAACATAAGAAACAAATGTTTATATACAGTAGGTCTTTATTCATTATTTATTTCTAAGTGCCTTTGTAATATGCACAACCCATCTGACTAATAACTGTCTCTTATACACATCTAGATGTGTATAAGAGACAGATTGGGGTCATGGATTGAGGTAGAAACATTTATAATCGCTGGTATTTATCTGTCTCTTATACACATCTAGATGTGTATAAGAGACAGGATTTGATAAGTGTACATTTTTATGAGACATGCGCAATTGTAGATCATTTTTGATTAAATAAATTATATCAATTTAGAAGTTCAGATGATGTCTTAATGCCAACTTACGAGTACCAAACATCCTTTTATCACATGGTATTTAAAACTTTATAGAAAGATAAGAAAAGTTTTGTTTGAATGATGTAGCTTTTATCGTAATTCTATAACTTACTCGGTTCTTTAATAAAACGCCATTTTCTTTGATGTTTGGAAGCTTCTCATAGCTGAAGGTACCACCACGATAATGTTTGGCATAAACTACCCCGAGAACGAACACGAAGGCGAAGAGTACAATATTTTGCATTTTCGCTAGAAAGAAGAGAAATATGGAACATATTGTTGGCGATATTTGTTTTTGTGAAGAGTCAAGCACAGGGAAACAAAAAATCTGATTTGCTAATAGTATGATGACATCATTACACAAGTGTCAATCTAACTCATCCAATGGTTGGTACAGTAATACACCGTATTTTACAAGGTTTTCAAAGTACACTCCTCGGCTTTCCTTTACATAGGATGGATTGTTTTAAACATTTATTTTATTGAACCATAGTCTTAACGCGTCGCATTTTCTATATCTAGAGGCAAAATCGACAACCCACCGCATGTTAAATTGTTAGACTTTATATCACAGAGGTACTATCATGAACTGTGTGGCTTTTGTTTTAAAGTAAAAATAAATGCAGAATGGCAAACACTTACCTGAGTTAAATATTTTGTGCTCGGAAACCTGCAGACGTATTGCACGACTGCTGAATCTGATGCTGTTGCGTTCGTGAAGGACCGTATTTATACACTTTTAGTCTCTAATGTCTATTACATCATAGCCACTAACCTCACTTAATGACATTTCTTCATACGATATTGGTCTGTTTAATACATTATGTACTTCTCATTAGTATTGAAATTACAAGATATTAAATGTGTTAATAAATGAAAGCATTTCTGTAGTATTGTCGAGTAAGTTGTTATTAGATAATGAACTTTAAATCGCTTAGCTTACTTTCTCTTTAGATTAAAAGTAGATATTTGCTGACATACTTAAATTTTAAATGATTCATTCTAAAGTTTCACTAAAATATTAAGCCCGCATTATTCGTAAATTCCTGTACAGATTTAGATACTATTACATTTGCTTAAATATAATATATATTCCGATAAACATGTTAGCAGAGCTCAACATAGGGCAATCTTATTGTATCTAGAACTTTAGGCACAAGGGCCAAGGATATGCCAACCAACGAACTTCACTTTTGTAAATGGAAATTCATCCCAAAACAAATATACATACAAGATGCTCTAAAGAGAAGTCTCATTACGAGGAGTTGGATCGTGATAAAAAATTATGTTACCGTTACAAGAATTGATCCCATGAGCCTGGGATTGTAAGGGCAAGCATCTTAACTACCAAGCTATTTAACTGTATTAAACTACCTCAATGATTCAACCGATGGTAACCACACATGTAGAATTCTGTAGGTTTTCATTCTTAACTCTTGTCCATCGAGTTGCTCTTCATGTATTTCTGATTGCAGCCAATCGTCTGTCTGAAGAGTCCTTAAAGCCGTTGGCCCTGTTTGCAGCAAGGTCCACTGGCCATGTGCAAGTTTATTACGGTAGTTTAAAACATGTTAACATACGCAATACGCGTGCGTTTTGTTGGATAGTACTTGTGTTTGTAGGACACACACGCATTCCTGAGCTTATTTTGATTGGTCAGTCGTTTGCTTAACACTCTAGATATTCCCCAGGCGGCTATGTTTATTTTTTTTTATTGGATTGAATAAAATATAAGCTGAATTAAATAGTTTGCTAAATAATACCAAAGATGAGTCAAATATTACTAAATATGATGTGTGCATCTATCATAATTTCGCTCTTATTAAGGGGTTATGGTTTGAGGTAACAATATTTGTAATTTAATATTTGTAAGTTGATAATATATTTCATTTAAAAATAATTCTTAATATTTGTAATTTAATATTTGTAATTTAATATTTAGAATTCTTTTGGTAAATCATTTTTTACTTTTTTGTGATTTATTTACAAAAAGTTCTCCAAGAGTTTGACAATTTACTGTAAACGTGCGTTGGCGCATTGAACTGCTTACGTCATCCAATAACTTTATACAAGCTACGAATTCTGAGGAGATATTGATCTGTTATTCAGTTTAGTTTTTAATTGCTAAGTGTAAGGTGAAATATTGGCGTCATTTTGTTCCGACACAAAATAGACACATGCGAATAACATGTTATATTATTTTATTTCGGTGCAAGTTTGATAATGCTACTACTGTAATTTGTTAAAGAGTTGAAAGTGGTAAGTATTAGTCTTCTGATCCAAACATTGGGGTTCGATTCAGAGGTTGGCCAATTATGGTGTTTTAGATATTAATTACGATATCAAAGAAGACTCAAAGAATTTTATTATTAAAGAGGATATTTTTTTTAAAGGAAAAAAGAAAAAAACCTATAAGAAATACGATGTTAACATGGTAAGGTTAGACATTAAGCCTAGTTTACTAACCATTTGTATAAAGAGAAAGATGTATGAGTGAACTTGTGTGATAAAATGGATATATTATATTGAATGAAGTGTATGATTCTGAAGTTGAAGAAAAAAATTGGATATTCCTACAAAACAGAATAAAAATATCAACGTTGAGCTTTATTCGTTTACCCAACATTGTGGTGATGAATGGTGCACTCCAACGCTAAAATTCTTGTTAAAGCCGGTAAGGATATACACAATATGTTATTATAATTGCTATTGCTATTATTATTGATTGCTATTGCTATTGCTAATAATAATAATAATCATTATCATCATCATTATTATCATCATCAGTATCATCATTTTCTTGATTTTATTTATTTAATGCTGATCTCAGATGCTACTCATTTTGCCGAACATTAAACACGTAACCATTAAGCATACTATACAATATGTTTTCTACATATCTATAGGCTTTTCAAGAGACAATTATCAAAATTAAACAATAGATCAATGCAATCGAAAAAGAATATATTTTGCACATTAATATGGAGGTTTATTTAAATAAATTTAAACAAAAAAGAGGAATAATTCAGATTAAATAAACTACCGGTACTTTTCATCTTTATTATTCTAAATAAAGACCAAAGCTGCTGAAGACCATAGAAACCCCGGCTAACAGTGGTTTTTAATTAGAGGAAGACCTGTCATTACAATAATAGTTATAGTAAATGTAAATATGAGCTGCAGTAAGGTAAGGTTAGGTAGTAGGTCTTCTATATTATATCTGTTTTATTATGTGTTTTAGTTTAATATGGATTCGTTATACGCCTAGAGCTCGAAAACCAGATTGAGCAGAAGTAAATCAAACCTGAAGAATTCTCCTATACATTTAGAATCATTATGAGATCGGTTTTACCATTCAGAGCCAGAAAATAGCATTTAATTCGAGAATGCGAGTCGATATATTAACTAGACTTCTTCTAATGCCGTGATTTTTACACAAGTTATGCAGTTATGAAAACAACACAAACTTTCCTACGCATCGTTATTGATTTAAAGTTCCAATAAGCTTACAATGTCCAAGTAGTAGTGTTTATTGATCGGGGTGATTAGAGTCTGAATCGATTAAAATTTAGAGATCCGTGCAGGAAAGTAACAGTTGCGTTTATTATAAAAAGTAGCAGTGTGTGATTTCCAGGTTGTGTTTTATCACTGAACATCAGTGTGAAAACCTTTAGAGGTTTTGTATTATTACGCTGGTGCAAGGGGAATAGAGACACTTCCAGCCTGTACAAAAGCCCCTCGGATGCAAATGCATTCAATATTAATCATCATCATTTTTATCATCATCGTTATCATCACCACCATCCCCATCATTACCACCACCATAATCGTCATCATTATCATCATCACCACCATCATCATTATCATCATTGAGACCATCATCATCATCGAAATAATTATCATGCTCATGATCCTCATAATCATCAATACTATTATTACTATTAATAATAATAATAAAAATAATAATAATTACATGCTATATATACTTCATTGTTGTATCTCTTTTAGAATAATGCACTTTACCCGACCCTCAGTCACAATGTTTTTAATTTTAAGTGTAAAAGAAGTAGTTAATATAGCATATAGCAGATCATTTGGAACATTTGATAAACTCATCATTTAGAAAGGAATTCGAATATGATTAATGGTTTCATTTTCAGTATGTCGGCTATATGAAGCAATTTTGACTATTGCAATATGGGACGAACGTCGGAAGGTCATCACTGCAATATGCATTTAATCCTCTGTATATTATTTTACAATAAAAATTAAAGGTTTCACATCGAATAGGCGACACAAATATTAGCATTAGAATTAGACTAACTTTGCTTTTCTGCTGGTTTTTCAAATAAACATGGAATTATTTCAGAACTAACTATTAGTACGTATACGTGAGTTGAGCAGCTGCTTCAGCACCAGGGAGCTTTCGATAATACTACGACGTTTAAGTGTAAAATAGGTCCCAGTCTCCGCATTACTCAGTGTATATGCATGAAATTGGTCCATTTTTTAAACATATTAGTTAAATTTTATAATTAAAACAGGTATTTTTTATTGGGTCCACTTTTTTGAAAGGTGGGTCCTCATTAGTTAGACGAAGAAGTTTATTTAATACGTTTTGGTAAGATTTTATGTGTAAAAATGGCCC